ACTACCCAGTCAAAGGATCATACCGCCAATGTTGTTAAGAGAGCAGAGGTGTTGCTGATGTTGATGATGGTGATGATGCTGACGCAGATGATGATGATGATGCTGATGCTGGTAATAATGATGATGCTGATGCTGATGATGGTGATGGTGATAGTGATGGTGATGATGATGGTGATAATGGTGCTGATGATGATGATGATGATGATGGTGGTGATGGTGATGGTGATGATGATGCTGGTGCTGACGATGGTGATGATGATGATGATGGTGATGATGCTGCTGATGACGATAGTGATGAGGATGGTGATTCAGATGATGATGCTGATCATGACGATGATGATGATGATGATGATGATGATGATGATGATGATGATGATGATGATGATGATGATGCTGATGCTGATGCTGATGCTGATGCTGATGCTGATGCTGATGAGGATGAGGATGAGGATGAGGATGAGGATGAGGATGAGGATGAGGATGAGGATGTGGATGTGGATGTGGATGTGGATGTGGATGAGGATGATGATCAGGATCAGGAGCAGAGTGAGGAAGATGATGAGGATTAGGATGATGATTGTGATGATGATGCTGATGATGATGCTGATGCTGATGCTGACGAGGATGATGCTGATGATGCTGACGATAATGCTGATGATGATGCTGATGATGATGCTGATGCTGATGATGCTGAGGAGGAGGAGGAGGAGGAGGAGGAGGAGGAGGAGGAGGAGGGAGGAGGAGGAGGAGGAGGAGGAGGAGGAGGGGGGGAGGAGGAGGTGGAGGAGGAGGAGGAGGAGGAGGAGGAGGATTCTGCTGGATTCTGCTGGCCTGACCTCCGAAGATGCGAAACACGCACAACGGCGGCGAAAACGAGCCTGCCACCTACCCCCAGGCCTGTCCTGGGCGACAAGGCGGAGTCTCCTGGAGCGCACGCGGCCGAAACATCGACCACCGCGTGACTAACGGCGGCGGCGCGCTCCGCGCGCCGCCGCGTGTCCCCCGGCCTCGCCCCGGCGGGGGGGTGAACCGCCGTGGGAGCTGTGAACCCCAGGGGAAGGAGAGGAGACGAGAGGGGGAGACGACGAGGAGAAGGGAGAGAGGAGGAGGGGAGGGGCACAGTCCCACAGCAGCCTACCCCCCTCCCCCGGGGGAGGCGCGACCCCTCCCGCCTCCGCCAGTCCTGCGGCCTGGTCCCCGGCTCTACTTATACCCCGCCGATCCAGGCGGCGCCGACCACCCCACTGGCTCCGTCAGTGGGGGGTGCCCCGGCTATCCCCGAATCGATGACGGGGCCCCTGCTATCCAAGCAGGGGGGGGCGAGGAGGAGGAGGAGAAGGAGGGAGAGGAAGCAGGGGGGGGCGAGGAGGAGGAGGAGGAGGAGGAGGAGGAGGAGGAGGAGGGCGAGGAGGATGAGAGGAGGAGGAGGAGGAGGAGGAGGAGGAGGAGTGAGGAGGAGGAGGGGAGGAGGAGGGAGGAGGGGGGGGGGGGAGGAGGAGGAGGAGGAGGAGAGGAGGAGAAGGAGGAGGAGGAGGAGGAGGAGGAGGAGGAGGAGGAGGAAGGAGGAGGAGGAGGAGGAGGAGGAGGAGGAGGAGAGGAGGAGGAGGAGGAGGAGGGAGGAGGACAGGAGGAGGAGGAGGAGGAGGAGGAGGAGGAGGAGGAGGAGGAGAGGAGGAGGAGGGGAGGAGGAGGGAGGAGGAGGAGGAGGTGGTGGAGGAGGAGGAGGAGGAGAGGAGGAGGAGGAGGGGAGGAGGCGGAGGGAGGGGAGGAGGCGGAGGAGGAGGAGGAGGAGGAGGAGGAGAGGAGGAGGAGGAGGAGGAGTAGGAGGAGGAGGAGGAGGAGGAGGAGGGGGTGGAGGAGAGGAGGAGGAGGAGGAGGAGGAGTTGGAGGAGGAGGCGGAGGAGGAGGAGGAGAGGGAGGATAACGAAAAGACGGATGATGACGAGGAGGAGGAGGAGGAGGAGGAGGAGGAGGAGAAGCAGGAGAAGCAGGAGAAGCAGGAGAAGCAGGAGCAGGAGGAGGAGGAGGAGGAGGAGGAGGAGGAGGAGGAGGATTAACAGTACAGCAACAGCAGCAGCACCAGTAGCAGCAGCAGCACCAGCACCGGCGGCAGCAGCAGCACCAGCACCACCAGCACCACCAGCACCACCAGCACCACCAGCACCACTACCAACACCAGCCCCAGCACCAGCACCAGCATCTGCACCAGCACCAACACCAGCACCAGCACCAGCAGCAGCAGCAGCAGCACAAAGACGCAGGGCGAGCAGGAGGACGCAGGGCGAGCAGGACGGAGCTGTCCCCCCGCGCAGCGTCGCCGCCCTTGTCGCCACTGCCGGGCCGCCGCCGGGCCGCCGCTGGACCGCTGCCGGGCAACTGCTGGGCCAGTGCCGGGTCACTGCCGCGCTCGTCGTTGCCAGTGCCCCCGCGCAGCCCCCGGGCTTACAGACTGAGCCGCCGCGAAGCAGCGCGGGCACCGCGCCCTGCCGCGGCGCGCCGCGCGCGCGTTCCCGCGCGGGCCCGGGGCCCAGCGCGCTGTGGGGTGGGAGGGGGGGGCGATTTCTGGGGCCTTAAGAGGGCCCCTTTGGCTTGGAAGGTGCACGAAAGGCGCGCTTATATCCCTCATGAAGCAATGCCCGAGGCGGGCCGCGGGGCCGGCCTGCTGCAGTATAGTTTTTTGGGAGTTTGATGTTTCGCCTGCCCCAGCGTTTCTCTTCTGTTTCGGTTTTCGGGGATCCTATCCAGCTGCCCACGGCAAGTCCCGCCACCGTGCAGGTTGAAGCCTCCTGGGGGCCGTTTTGGGGCCTCTTGGGGGCCTCGTGGGGGCCTCGTGGGGGCCTCGTGGGTGCCTCTTGGGGCCTCTTGGGTGCCTCTTGGGACCTCCTGAGGGCCTCTTGGGCCCCTTTGGGGGCCGTCTTGGGGCCCTCTTGGGCCCTTTTGGTCGCCTCTTGGGCCGTCTTGAGGCGCTCTTAGGCCGTCTTGAGGCCCTCTTGGAGGAATCTTGGGCCGTTTTGGAGTGGTCTTGGGGTCCTCTTGGGTCGCCTCGGAGCGTTAGAGAGCCGAAAAGGCGAGACCGCCAAAATCCTTCAAAAACGCACGGAAAATCACTGATTGGTGCCTTTGGGGGCCCTCTTGGGAGACCTCTTGGAGGCTTCGGGGGGCGCCTTGGAAGGCTCTTGTGCCATCATGAGGCCATCTGAGGCGTCTTCGAGCGATCGTTCAGCGACTCGGGGTCCTCTTGGACCGTCTTGGGGGCCTCCCTGTCATGAAAGGCATGGGGAGCCCCAGGGAGGCGCCATGGCCGCCCAGGGACCCCGTGGGAGTATGGCTGGTGCGCGTGGCGAGGCGCTTTTTGAGGAGGTGGGGGACCTTTGGAAGATTACAGAAGCTCTGCCAGACAGCACGTGGCATTCCAGCACGTCTCAACGTGCCAGGGGGCTCGGTGGCGGATTCTTGTCCCAGGGCAATCACATCTGCACTGGAGCGCGCGCTGTGGCGTCCAGGAACTTGATGTTTCCCTTGCGTTTTTCTTCGGTTTAGGCCTCCAGGGACCCTGTTCGGGCCCCAGAGCAATCAAAACTGGATCAAGACTGCATCTGGAACGAAGAGTTACCTCCAGAGAAGGTGTCGAGGCCTCTGCGGCCGAGGAGTGAAACCAAGACAGGTCAGCAGATCGGGGAATGGGGTCAATATCATTGTATACCATCAGCTCCGTACCTATACGACCACCCTGCAGGTGATAAGGAGGTGAGGGGGGAGGGGGAACCAACGTCTCACTCAATCGATCTCGCTATCGATCTCACAATCGATCTCACATTCGATCTCACTATCGATATCACTATCGATCTCGCTATCGATCTCACTATCGATCTCACAATCGATCGGTCTCACATTCGGTCTCACTGTCGATCTCACTATTGATCTCACAATCGATCTCACAATCGACGTCATCATCATCATCATCATCATCATCATCATCATCATCATCATCATCATCATCATCACCATCATCATCATCATCATCATCATCATCATCATCAACATCAACATCATCATCATCATCGTCATCGTCATCGCCATCATCAACATATCGATCTCACAATCGATCTCACATTCGATCTCACTTTAGATATCACTATCGATCTCGCTATCGCTCTCACTATCGATCTCACAATCGATCTCACAATCGATCTCACATTCGGTCTCACATTCGGTCTCACTGTCGATCTCATCTATCGATCTCACAATCGATCTCACAATCGATCATCATCATCATCATCATCATCATCATCATCAACATCAACATCATCATCATCATCATCATCATCATCATCATCATCATCATCATCATCATCATCATCATCATCATCATCATGATCATCGGGGGCCATCACTATCGGGACACCGACGGGACACCGACAGGACACCGGCGGGACACCGCGCGCCACCGGCCGCCCGGAAGAGACACTTTTGGTCCAGCCGCGCCTCAGCCACAGGGACACCGACGGGACACCAGCGGGACACCGGCGGGACACCGCGCGCCACCGGCCGCCCGGCGGAGAATCATTTGGTCCGGCCGCGCCTCAGCCACAGGAGACTTTCCTCTCGCCCGCCCACGCAGCTTCGCCTCGCCCGCACGGCACGCACGAACACGAAACCGAAATCGATTTCCCGGTAGGGGGGCTCTCCGTTCCACTTCGATCTCACCCCCTCACCTCCGATACACAGCGGCTCCGGATCCTCCTCGTCATCCTTTCCTCATCCCTCCTCGCCCTCCTCCTCCCCTCCTTCTTTCTCCGAGACATCTTCCTTCTGCCTTCCCCCCCTCCTCCTCCTCCTCCTCCCCCTCCTCCTCCTCCTCCTCCTCCTCCTCCTGTTCCTCCTCCTCCAGCATAGGCATGCACATTGGCGTCTTTTGTGGCGTCCCTGCCCCTGATGAGTGGAGCCGCCGAATAGTGGCCAGGAGGCTGCATCTTGGAGACGGCTCGGTACTTTTGGCGATGTCCCTCTACATGGTCACGTCGATCGGCTTGACGGGGGACAACCTGGCGCTCCTGTCAGCAGTGGCCAGCCTCGTCGATCAGTACCCGATCCCATTTTTCATAGGGGCTGACTGGAACACTGAAGCGCATGAGTTGCAGGACGGCGATTGGTGCGAAGAGGTGGACGCCATCATCGTGAATGCTGGCATGCCGACTTGCGATGATCACGAGTTCGACTACTTCGTGATGTCGCGCTCGCTCGCGCACTTCGTGCAGACACCTCTCGCCTACGCTGGAACTCCTGCTGGCACACATGACCAGGTGTGCTGCTCTCTTGGGCAGATATGGCATCGGCCGACCGTGTGGGTCGAGGACCCTCGACGCTCTTTGCAGTGGCGAAACGGGTGGCCAAGGACGTTGAAGTTGTTGTGCCGCAGCCGAGTGCTGAGTCCCAGCTTGAACAGGCAGAGCTGCTGGAGCCCATTTCTTGTATTCAGGCGGCCTCTGCTCGGTGGTTCGACCTGGCTGAATCGGTGCCGATTCGAGCACAACAAGTTGATGTTACGGCTGCGCATTTGCACCGTGGCCGTGGGAAAGGCATTCGAGTGGTCGAGAAGCCTCTCCTGCAATTTCAAGCACGGCGACAGCGGCATCATGACTCCTCGGACACGGAGGCCTGGTGGAGCTTCTACCGCATCTGGCAGGCTATGCTCAGATGGGGCCGTGCAGCTCGAGGCTCTCGTGGCAAGTGGCAGGCGATTCGAGCTTGCCTCTTTCTTGAAGCTCATGAGCTAACGCTTCCAGCCGCTGTCAGTGGAGCCGAGGCCTTGGGAGTCATGGCCGTTGATAAGTGGCTCGGCTTGGCAGAGAGAGACAGCCCTTTGGCGCCGTGGTTTTCTCAGTTCCTGGACGTTGAGCTCGCCATGCGCAGGCAAGCTGACGCGGCGGCTAAGGCGAAACTACGGCGTGAGTTTCGCAGCTCGGCTCTTTCTGGGTCTGGACGCATTGCGCGCAAGCTGATCGAGCCGAAGGTAGTCCAGCCGCAGCCCGTCGTTTTTCCTGAGGATATCGATGCGCTGCCGCAGGTGGGCTCGCTGGCCGCGGAGGCCGTGCTGCAGGAGTGGCTGCCGCTCTGGGTAAAAGATGCCAGGACACTGGAGCCTCCAGCGGCGCCCTGGCAGGTGGAGCACGCGCTGGAGCCGGTCAGCGCGAAGCAAGCTCGTGCGGCGACGCTCTAATTTGGCCGCCGCAAAGGGCTAGGTTGGGACAACTTCCACCCGCGGCTCTTGAACGAGCTCTCGGACACGATGGCGACGCGCTTCGCGGCCATCCTTGGCGAGTTCGAGAGGATGGCGATTGTTCCGGGGCTCTGGGCCACGATGATGGTGTTCATCCTGAAGGCGCCGCCCGATGTTGGGCGCAGGCCGATTGGGCTTTTGGCCGCATGGCCCCGAGCGTGGTCCAGAATTCGGCAGCCTCTTCGTTCGTTCGTGGGAGGTCAGCGTGGACGCAAGCTTCTTCTGGGGCAAGTCTGGTGACACCGCCGCGGATCGCGCCCTGCGCCCACAACTTGCCGGTTGTCCACGCGAAGAGGCACAACTTCGCCAGCGGCGCGTTGTACTGCGAGGTGCGGAAGTTCTACGAGAACATTTCTCACGCTGCCATGCGCGCAGCTGGCAGGCACTACGGCTTCGACGAGCAGTTGCTGAAGTGTTTGCGCGCGGTGTGCCACGGGCCGCGGAGGGCCCGCTGGCTTGGGGCTACCTTTCGGCAAGTGCTGCCGAATGGCACGGTCTTCGCTGGCTGCAGCTGCGCGACTGGCGTCGCGATGCTCATCAATTTGCGCGTTCTCAGAACAGTGGCGACTGAGACGCCAGTGCGTCGGCCGCTTAATCTTGCGGGCGACTTGATGATTCATGCGGTGGGCGCGCTGCGTACGGTGGCTCAGCAGCTCGTCAGGGCCGCGGTTGCCGTCTCGACCGAGATGGAGGAACTTGGCCTGCCGCTCAACCTGACCAAGGCGCGCTTCCTCTGCTCGTGCCAAGAGCTGCTGAAGGCCTTGCTGGGCGATGAGGACAGGCCTTTCGACGAGAGCGCCCTGGCCAGCACCCGTCGTGACTTGGGCGGTGACGCTTCCGATGGCAGGGCGCGCCGCGTGCCTGTGCAATATCGGCGCCTCTCAGCCGCGTCGGCCTCGGCGACTCGGCTCTCCAAGATTGGGGGGCCTCTCGGGTGAACGGGGCAGGGCCAGTCGCTGAGGCCGCGTGGGGGGCGCGCGTTAGTGGTCTGGGAAACTCGGCCCTTTGGGCCCTCAGAGTTGCCTCGGCCAGGTCCTTCGGCCCCCTTCAGCCTGGGCCCTCCCTCGGCCTCGCCTTCCCCCTCTCTGGTGCCCAGCAGCGAGACCCATTTGTTTACGTGGCGGTGGATGCCGTCGAGACGTTCGTCTCGGTTTGGCGGCGTCGCAGCGTCTCCAAAGCAGGCGCCCAGTTGGCTTCCGAAGATGCGCTCTTGACGGCCGGCAAGGCCAAGCCGTGGAGCTCGGCTAAGCAACCCGCGGCGGCTCCCGTGCTCTCGCTTGGTCGCATAGGTCGGCGGCCGGATGTTCCCAATGCAGTTTTGATTGACCGAGCGGGTAGAGCGCGGGGCCTAGATGCGTTTTCCCCTGCCTTCTTCTGTCTCCGCATTCGGGGGGCGCGTGAGGAGGCCATTATAACCGAAGAGCAGGATCGGCAGAGTGATTTCGGGCATGAGTGGAGAGGGCCGATGCGCCTCAAGCCTGCGCTCGATCTCCTCTCGAAGCAGAGTTCACCCACTTGGTCGGATCACTGCCGTCATTGTTTGCGTAGCTTCATTGCGAGTCGGCATTGGTGTCAGCAGAGGTTTCACGGCTCTTGTCAGGATATGTCTCCCGTGGGCCCGGCCTATCAGGCCGCCCCTGGGACCGCGTTCCACCGTCGGTTCAAATGTGGCTTTCATGATGTTTGGAGAAGGGATGTGATCAGCCCTGAAGTTCGCAGGGCAGCGGATCGAGTCAAGTTGCTCTCTCCCAGGGCTCAGGAGCTCCTTGCCCGCTGTGCCCTTCCCGACCCCACCCGCTGGTTCGCCCGTCCCACTGAGCCCCCCAAGGCCACTGTGTATACGTGCAATTGGCCTGCCGATGGGTTGACCTTAGGTGATGGGGACCACATCTTTATCGATGGCTCGCGTGACGATCCAGCGCCCCTTAGGATCAGATCGGCGGGGTGGGTAGTTGTGGTGACGTGCGGTTGGGGAAAGGTGGCTCGTGCGATTTGGGGGCGCGTGCCCCCCTGTGATGCTCCAGCCCAGGTAGCTCGGGACGGCGAGGACTACGCTGTGCTATCGCTGGTGCGCCATGCTGCTGTCTTCCCTGGGGCCTGTCTTTACGGGGACTGTTCGGGCACCTTGGCGTATGTCCAGGACCCTTCAGGTGCCGTCAACCCAGATAATGCTCGGTCTCACTTGTGGCAGCACGTGCACAATGAGTTGGCTGGAGTCTCGTGGTGCAAGGTCCCCGCCCATTGCACCATGCGATATGTTGAGAATGGCAAGCTCAGTAGGCTCGAGTACTAGGGAAAATCGAGCGGCTGATGCGTATGCAAAGAAAGGGGCCGCTCTAGGTAGGATCCCCGACCCCGATAGGCTTATCGTCGATGGGGTGCCATGAATTGGCCCGTTTGTTGTGTAAGTATTCGGCGGAGCAGGAGGCTCGGATCGGTGACCGACAGGAGTTTCATCATGTCGGCCTCGAGTGGCTCCGTCACATCTCCCTTGACCTCCCTCCTCTCCGTGAGGGTCCTCCTGCTGCTGCTCCTCCTCCTCCTCCTCCTCGTTCTCTCCCTAGCTCTGGGCGGGGGGCGGGGTCGGAGCTCGGGGGCGGGGAGAGGGGCTCGGATGCGGCCGCTCCGTCGAGTGGCCAGAGCTTTCGGTCTGGCCCACTCTGGGACATGCGGCCCTTTAGGCGCAGGTCCAAAATGCTGAAACGCGCGATCGGGGTTCGATCGCATTCTGCACGACCTGTGGCTCGGTGTGCGCTGTAGGAGGACACAAAAAAACAGCTCTCACGTCGGATTATGTTGGGCACCGCTCGTCGGGCCGAGAGCGGCAATCGGCATGGATCTCGCAAGGTCGCCACCCGTCCAAGAGTGTCTAACGTGTGTCCCGAGCGTCCGTGTTGTCGGACCCCGCTCGGGACTTCTTGGCGTCGATGATGTCTCTCGACGCCGTTCCGTCGCTCGCGCCGCCGCCGTCCAGAGGTTCTCTGGCTGCCTCTTCTCGGGGGAGTGGGGGGGCGGCGAGGTGGGCGGGCACTGGGGTCGACCTTCTTTGAGGCCTGTCTCTTTTTGGGTTCCGATCTCGGGAGGAGGCTGAGCCACTCGGTCTTCGAGCGCGGGAGCGCCGACGGCAGGTTGTGCCGCCCGAGGAGGATATCGGCCTCTTCTAACTCGTTGGAATGTGTTTGCCTTTTGATGCATGTTTAATGTGGTGGCACCTTCCTAGCCATTGCCGAGCTCCTCCTCCTCCTCCTCTTTTTTCCTTCCCCTTTCTGATCCTCCTCCCTCTTCCAGGTCCCTTGGAAGATACATCGGGGCTCTCATGACTCTTTGCCTGTCTGGGAGACCTCGAGCCTTTGGAAAAGTCACACGAGCAACCCCTAGGAGTGCCTGGCCGCGCCCGAGAGCGCCTGGCCGCGCCGGCAACTCCAGACTGGGTTCCTGGAGCCATATTCTGACAGTGTTCGATACAGAGAATTCGAAGGGACCTGAGGACACTCCACTTCGTGCCTCGAGGCACAGTGGCGGCGGATGCACCATTGTTCATGGTCGTGCGCCCTGCCACACGAACCAGAACCCTAACCCGAATCGTGGCTTTAGCAGCAAAGTGTTTGGTTTACCTCCTGCTCCTCCTCCTCCTCCTCCTCCTTCCGGTCCGGAAACTTGGCTTAGCGTGTGGCTCCGCTGATTCTGGCCCGCCACGCGGCCGGCACGCTATCCACGTCCCCATTCCCAAGCGTCAACGTTCCGAGCTGTTCCCAGCCTTCCGCCCCGCGGAGCGGAGCGACACGCTATCCACTCGCATGGCATAGCGTGTCGCCAGGGCCGTCGCCGCGAAACGCTATGCAAACGTCCCTGACCGCATCATCACCCCGCTCCGTCCTCCAGGGCATTGCGGGCCCCCCGCGGCGTGGCGTTGGGACGCCACGCCGCGGGGCGCAGCAGCCGCGGCCGCATCAGTGGCCTCCCTGGCATTCGGCCTTTTCATTTTCGATGCTCGGTGCTCGGTGCTCGATGCTGCGTGCACGG